CAACTTTTATGGCACATATTTCCTTTTTTCTTGATGAGCAGAAATTAATCATCTCATGAGCTAGCAGAATAGAGTCAAGGGAAGATTTTCCTGATATCTCATCAAAGTGAGATATCAGCTCTTCCTCTCGTCAGCTCTAGGACTGCGCGTCGAGGGTCCTCTCGTCAGCTCTAGGACTGCGCGTCGAGGGTCCTCTCGTCAGCTCTAGGACTGCGCGTCGAGGGATCCTACAAGCTATTACAAATCACGGCAAGAACACAACTTTTACGTGGTTCAGCAAATAGCCTACGTCCACAGGGCAAGAAGGGGAGATCTACTATTAGAGGGAGAGATACAACTGGGGTTTACAATCACACAACCTAAACCCTCTCACAAATTCTCTAATCCCTCATACAAATATCTCTCTCAAAACGATGCACAAAACCCTAACAAAAGCCTTCTGCCAGCGCCACCAAAGAAAAGAGAACAGCCGACTTCAAATGCCGCCTCTGCACACCCGAAGAGACAGCCGCTGCTCCTTCTTTTCTCCTGCTGCAACCGCCAATGTAAACCCCAAACTTGCGCACGGAACCCTAGAAAATCTCGTGGGTATAAATAGCCTAGTGATGCGGTTTACAACCAATGCGAACTTGGGCCTCAGGACTTGTCCGCTGGATCTTAGCTTTGCCTTCACCCGTGGTCCATTATCATTTCACGTGAATCATTTTCACGCGGTTTACTTGGCCAACACTGTGGCCCCCACCCATTCACAAACCCCCAATAACTTTCAGGATCATAGTAAACCCCCAATAACTTTTCTATTTTGCAGAAAATTCTCACTAAGTTTCTACATTTTGTAGATAACCCCCATAAATGAGAACAAGAAAACAACATAAAAAACGAAATTTGAAAATTATTGGGGTTTATTGCAATTTACTCAGGACATATTGAGGTTTTTCTGCAGAAGTTGTTATTGGGAGCTTAGTGTGATTTTAAAAGTTTATAGAAATTTACTGCAAAATACTAAAAGTTCATGGCCGCTGGTGTAGTTTACCCTTTCATTAAAGCCTGTAATATTTTAACAAGTACACGCAAATGAATTGAAAGATAGTCGGCAAGTAGGACAAAGCTTTGATTTGGCACTGAAAGAGTATATAACAAAAAAGTAAGAGGATTTTATATAACCGTATCAAATTCTTGCTGCTTTCAGAAGCCATCAACTAGCAATCATCATCATCATCATCATCATCATCATCAACATGAGCCCGTGCAGCTCAGTTCTCTCAGGTCTTGGAAAAAGGTACAAGGCTATAGCTTAGTAGTTAATATGCGCTAGTAATTCTCTTTGCTCTTAAAAAAGAACTGGATTTTCACATCTGATTGGAATTGTGATAGCACTACACTTACAGTTTGATGTTCGCTGTCATGTCTTAGAATTATAATTTTCAAGTTGAATCTGAAACTTCTCATGATCCGTGACCATTTGGCCAAGAGATTATAAAATTCATCTGTGCAATCTTTCATAGCAGAGTAGATGCTAGTATCGATATAAGACATAGTCAACTATGTGCGCGACGAAGGCAAGAACAATCTATGTGTTGGTTGAGTGCCATATCTAATTAGACATGATCTGTTACAGATTATATCTTGGGGATAACCATAAATTGATTAACAGTGATCGATATGATCAAATATCTCAACAGTGTTTTTTGATCATTAACTAACTGATTCTAACCCCCCCCCCCCCCCCCCCCCCCCGATTGATGATCAAAGGTAGAGTCACGTGTCTGTGAAAATAGTACGGTGTAATCTCATCCATGGTAGTTTCCTCCACCATTAGGAACCAAGCTGACCATTGCTAGCTGCATAACGGAGTACCGATCCAAGGTATAATTTCTCCTTGCCTCTTACAGCACTATAAAACTATCACATTAGCACATTAATCACCAAATTCTTAGGTTTTGTAATTTGTGCTGGTCGGTTGAAGACTGGAGATTTTTAGTGTACCAACCATTTGGTGAATATGCTCTATTGAATCGTTCTTCATATGATTACAATTGATGTAGTTTAACATAAAAATTGACAAGTAAGAAACTAAATAAAAAAAAAAAAAATCTGGCCTTGAGTCTGTTGAAGTCTAAGGGTAGACTGAAAGTATGATGGAAACGGTTATCGTTCTGCTAGTTTTTGACAGTCCCAATCCAGTTAGAACGACGAAGGCCCTAAACTCCTTGACACATTCATTCTACTGCAGACTCGAGGGCAAAGTCGCCCTGATAACTGGTGGGGCCAGCTGCCGACATCCGGGATGACCGTGGCCGCTCCGTCTGCTCCGACATCGGTCCTTCCTCCGCCTCCTTCGTCCACTGTGACGTAACCAACGCCTCCGACGTCCAGAACGCTGTTGAGACTGCCGTGTTCAAGCATGGCAAGCTTGATATCATGTTCAATAATGCGGGCGCCATTGATACCTACAGGTCCATTGTGGACACTGACCAGTCTGACTTTGATCGAGTCCTGCGTGTTGTCGTCACAGGAACTTTTCTCGGTATTGCTAAATACAATTTTGATTTCATAGGATCTTTTACCATAATTTTTATGGGATTTTTTTTCCCAACATTTCTTTATCGATGTATTGCAGCATGTTTTATACACAATGCGTTGTTCAGCCACACAGACATTAAAAAATGTACAAACCTATAACCCTCAACCTGCACCATATGGTAGATGCTTTTGACATAGTATCAGAACAGTCCAGCTTCAAATCTTAATTATAGGGGACAAATTTCTAAAATTGTTCATTGAAGTTCAAATTTTTGATCAACAAATCGCACAGTTGTACTTCTAGACATGAAATAGGGCACATGAACCCTCCAGAAACTAAATTATCAATGATTTCGACATACTTTTAGTCATATGTCAAGGGATAGCATTTAACGAAATTTGTGAAAATTAAGAAATGTTCATCTTGACAGCATGTTACATGCACGGTTACAATGCCTTGAAACCATTCAAGATCTAGTTGATATATAGTACATTTGTGTAAATTGGAAATCTAGCTAGCTTTTTAATTTCAACGTATAGTATTCGCACCTTCAATGCTGTCAACCAATTTTCCTCTTCGGTTAATCAGAAGACTAATTTTTTCCAACTCTTACCAGGCATCAAACACGCAGCCCGCGTCATGATCCCCAACGGCCGAGGCAGCATCGTATCGACCTCCAGCATCGCAGGCGTCGGCGGAGGAATGGGCACGCACGCCTACACCAGCGCCAAGCACGCCGTGGTCGGACTAACGAAAAACGCAGCGGTTGAGCTTGGGCAGTTCGGTGTCAGAGTCAACTGCGTGTCTCCCTACGCAACGGCAACCCCGTTGGCGATGAACGCGATGGGGTTTGCAGATAGGGAGGAGGGGAAGTTCGAGAGAGCGGTGAGCATGTGTGGGAATTTGAAGGGGACGACGCTGGAGAAGGAGGATGTGGCGGGAGCTGTGATGTATCTGGGGAGTGATGAGGCTAAGTATGTGAGCGGACATAATCTTGTGGTTGATGGAGGGTACACTGTGGTTAATACGGGGTTAAATAGGGTTAATGATTTCCGTTAAATGATTTTTTGTATGTCTATTGAAATATCGCATTGCTGGAAATATATAAGGGCAAATTAGAAATTACTAATTGGATGTTTAGTCCAAATTACTAATTGGATGAGATCGTGTTTCTTATTATGAACTTGAAATCGATACGTGCAAATGCACGTTAGAAAAAATAATAATAAGGGTTTTTTTTCGATATATACCCCTTACATTATACGTATTTTCAGATTTACCATTCAAATTATTGTACTTCTAAACTTACCCTTCAAATTGTATTACTCCCTCAAACGTACCCCTCATCTAAATTAGTGTGAAATTTGAACAGTTTTTAGGAAAAAGATGACCACTATATCCCTATCCTAGTTGTTTAATAAAAATACTAAATCTGCTATGATCTAAAACTCGATTGGGATCTGTTGTTCTATCATATAGTTTACATTCTCTCCAAAAAAAGTTTTTTTTGAGGGAATTATACAATTTGAGGGGCGAATTTAACCATGATAACCGTTCAAATTTATTATTAATTAAATGATGGGTAAATTTGAGGGAATAATATAATTCAAGGGGAGAATTGAAAATTATAATAATTTGAAGGGCAAATTTAAACGTACCTACAATTTGAGGGGTATATTAAAAAAACCCCAAAAGATAGGAGTTAAAACTTTTAGTTAGAGGTATTTGGGGACTTGTTTCAAAATGTCAAAATTTCAGGGATTTTTTCTTCAAAATACATGAGATTTTATAGGAAAAATGCCTTAAGGACCCAAAATATGGGACCAAGAGATGGGACAGGTGAGATGTCCCCTTCTTATTGCATAATGATCTGGTCATGCCAGCTCATTATGCAATAGGGAGGAGACACCTCACATGTCCCCTCCATTGGTCCCATATTTTGGGTTCCTGTAGCAGCGCTCTTTTTTATTGTTGCCATAATCTTCTTGTCTAATGTGACTATTTCCATGTATTTTTTGCCTATTATTTGGAAAAGAAGATCCAAAAATTACGAAAAAAAAATATATTGTAAGCAATTTTTAATATATTTTTTATTATTCATTTTTTATTTATTCAAGTTATGTTCGTGTTTTGAGCAAAAAATTATATCATATACATGAAATTTTGATCATTTAACTTTTATTGATTGTTGCCCTGATCTTCTTGCCTAATATGACTATTTTCATGTTTTTATTGCCTAATATTTGGCAAAAAGAGATCCAGTAATTACAAAAAATTATATTATCTAGCATTTTCTAGTATATTTTTACAAAGAAAGGCTTAAGGATCTATCATCTCACTTAAAAAGTCACTCCAATATCAGGAAGAAATGAAGCGAGGTAACTCTCCAGCTCGGTGGGCCTATGCAATGCCGGCCCAGTAATAAAGCCCAAGCAGTGACGATACCAGTATCGATAAAGATCAGGCCACTCTCTCCTCCTCCTCCCAAGCTCACTCCCAACTGCCTTCATCCATGAAAAAAGAAGCTCATTTTCACAAAAAAGGCCCCAACAAATAATGTATTTACTTTCCCGCCCTACTTTCTTCTCCCCAACAAACTTCTCCTCCGAGTCCCACAAACCCTCCCCTCCTCACCTCTCCGGTTCCATACGCCGCCCAATTATCCCTTCACCCCCACAGCCCCAAGAAATTACCCAAACCCCCCTCAAGAAAATTTCAAAAAACCCCCTCAAAGCCCTGCAACCTCGTCAAAAACCCCCGCCATCGTCAAACCCTCTCTCTGACAAGCTCTTCCTCTCCAGCAAACTCTCTCCACCACCACCTCCTCCTCCTCCTCCCCCCATTCAACACCCAGAACCCGAACCCGAACCCGAACACGAATCCAAACCCGACCCGAACCCAACTCCGGCCGCATCAAAGTTTGTGCAGAAAGAGAAGATCTATGTAGGGAACTTGCCCCTATGGATCAAAAAGAAAGAGATTGAAGAGTATTTCAGGCAATTTGGGCCTATCAAGAATGTGATTCTTATCAAGGGGCACGATGACCCAGAGCGCAATGTTGGGTTTTGCTTTGTTATTTTTGGTGGGCCCACGGCCGAGGAGTCCGCGGCCATGGCGGTGGAGTTCGATGGTGTCGAATTCCATGGAAAAGTGCTGACAATTAGGTTGGATGATGGAGGGAGACAGAGGAAGAGGGAGGAGGAGAGGGAGAGGTTGAGGAAAGGACAAGGGAGGGGTTATATGAGTGAATGGAAGGAGAATCGAGAAATTGCCCGCCAGAGGTTTCGAGAGGTGGCTGAGAGTACGCCAGAGAACTGGCAGAAGGTGGTCTCGGAATTCGAAAAGATAGCAAAGGTATATATGGCCTTTTTTTGGCATAACTGTGATTGAATTGTACATGTTTGCTTCACTTTATCAATACATGGAAACTTTATTACAGTTATATCAGAATATGTTATTTGGAAAGTTTTGTTGTTGACATTGCATTCTTCTGAGTAAGGATTCTATCATAACACGCGATAGAAATGGGTGGTCTGGACCATTCACGGGTGGTTAGAGGGTTAGTTTGGGAATTGCAACTCTTCTATTTATGGTGTAGATCACCCTGCTTCTATAGGGCTGGTTCTGATAGCATCCCTACAAGCATTCTTCTGGCTATTATTGTAGAAATTGTTTCATTTAGTGTTGTCTTGTGTCGATGTTCATTTGAGCATTTTTATGTCCAAGTTTTTATAGTAAGTGTTTTGGAGTCTTGCAGCTTGACATCAACCTTCAAAATTGGTTTCAAATTTCTGGCGACATTTTTGGTAAAAGCAGACGGACATGATATGGTGAACTGTTACATGATCCAAATATTTAAGACTTCTCATGAAGTAGTATTTTATTTTCCTTAGTGTTGTCTTCTGCTAAAATATCTGATTTTGTGCTGTCAAAATTTCTCCCTGCTATACACTCTATCTGTCATAGTAATTATATATAAAAACCATGAGAAAATAGTTCATCATTAGCTTTTCTGGTTGAACTGCTAAATGTCTAAACATTATGTTCCTTTTTTTCTTTTTCTTTTTTTTCTTTTCTTGAAAATTTACCAATCAACTAACTTATCAGTAAATTAAGCTAAAAGGGTTTCTTCCTCCTGTCCCGTCAATTTAGAAGTGTGAGAAAAGGAGGGAGTTTTTGCTTTTATAGGGCATATTTGGCTAATACTTATTTTGTGAAACATTGAAACTCATAAGTTACTTATTACTTATTTTTCGGAAAAGTAGTCTTTTAACATCAATAAGTAAATCTCCTTGTAAGTGCCAAATGAATATGTTGGAATATCCCAAAATTTACCTAACATAATTTAGGGGCCTTATGAGCATCTACCTACTTATAAGATAAAAGAAGTAGGTTGCCAAACATGCTCTTAAGATTGAATTTTTTTTGTAATAGTCCAAAAAGTGTGTTGGGGATTACAATATGACAGAAATATTAAATATTATTAATTTAGTATGTGTTTTTGGTCCTGATCTGTTATCGATTTATATATGAAATATTTATTCATATATTCAGACTTTATTCATGTAAGGTTTAGTGTCTTACATAGTGAAAATATGCAATGGTGTATTGTATAGAAATAAGTAATAGGTGAAATTAAACTATTTAACAAACTATATGTGCTTCTACTCTGAACTCATGAAAATTTCATTTCTGTTCAGCCTTCTAGAAGAGAATTTGGATTGATGGTTAAATATTATGCAAGGAGAGGGGACAAACATCATGCTCGTGCGACTTTTGAGAACATGAGAGCAAGAGGAATAGACCCAAGTTCACATGTTTTTACTAGGTAATATACTATGTTATGTTATGCTTATTTTTATATTAGTTTGCTTCCAAATATGTGATTGTTCTTGTTAGCCTAGGAAACATGGTAGGTTGATATCTATTTCTATTTCAAATGGTACACCTTTGATCTAACACTGTTCATGAGTTTCTCTAATATATACAATTTGGCATAAAATATGCATTTGGAATTACAAACCCATCACTTTTGTGTTAGCAAAAAATTAAAGGATTGATATAGACCCAAAATTATGCTCATAATTAGACTTTCTCAAATAAAAACTTAGTTGTTGTGATTAACATTTTGGATCAGTCATCTTGAACGCAATGATTGGGGAAACCATCCTATATGTAAAGACAAAAATCAAAGGAAAGAGAACAATTGAGGCATCTCTGAGATTAAAAGTTTCCGGATCAACCAGCCCCACCTCCTAATCCATGTGCTCACCACCAAAAAGTTATCATAATAATTAGTGACAATTCAGAAAATTTTAAATTACTAAATGACTTCTACTAAAACAATAACAACATCAAAATCTTTATTCCAAATGTTTGGGGTCAGCTAAATGAATCATATTCTTCTATTCCATTTTGTTATGGGATATCTCCTCTGTTAAATTAGACATAATCATATCCTTCTTAATTGTTTCTAACCAAGTTCTTTTAGGTCTACCTCTAGACCTCTTAGCCCCATTAACTATAATACTATCATTTTTCATAATCGGTGCACTAAAAGGTCTCCATTATACATGACCAAACTATCTTAGTTGATTCTCTCGCATTTCATCCTCAATGGGAGCAACCTCTAATTTACTATAGATGCACTAATTTTTTATCCTATCTTTTAGTGTATACCCACAAGACATCGTAACGTTCTTATTTGTGCTACACTCGTTTTTTGCACATGTTTTTTTAATTGCCCAACATTCTGACCCATGAAGCATTGTTGGTCTTATAACCATCTTACTCCCTTTAGTTTCATTGGTATTTTGTGCAGTCAAAATAAGTAAATGACTATTTAGCTAATTTCATTGGTGATTTAATATTTTATTTAGATACACCTACCCGGTTGCATATGTAGTCTTTTGCGGAATTATGTGGCAAGAAAATGATGTGATCCGATGCATAGAACATGAGTACTTTAGATGCTTTTGGCATAACTAAATTAAATGTCATAAACAAGAAAAGTACATGATGTTGATGAACACTTGTAGTGAAAACATAATTTAGCTTCCAGGTATCATTGGTTTCCTCAAGAATGCATAATTGCTGGTATGATATGCTGGTAGACACAGGTGAATTGTTCAAATAGGACTCTTTCACTATATTTCATCTATCACTTTCTTCTATTATATGCTGAAGATATATCATTTCACGCAGCCTTGTTAACGCCTATGCAGTTGCTAGAGATATGCGAGGTGCCTTATCATGTATCGATGAAATGAAAAATGAGGGCATTGAACTGACTGTGGTGACCTATAGTGTCCTCATAAAGGGTTTTGCTAATATTAATGATGCGAAGTAAGTACAACTTTTAAGGATTATGTGTCTAGTTTTTTTCATTTCAGCTACTCATCACTCTGTTTAACTCCACATTATAATTCTCTTGTTTTGAAAGATCTGCAGATAATTTATTCAGGGAGGCAAAGCAGAAGCTGCCATCGCTGAATGCCATCATATATGCCAATATTATTTATGCTCACTGGTTAGTATTTTCTTAAAGATGTAAGAATTCATTGGCTTCTCGTTATGTTCTTCCATCTGTCTTGACTAGCATTTTCTAGAAAAGAGAGGAAGATTCTACTCATTTAGTTGATCTTCCCTCTGAACCATCTCTTACCTGTTATGGTCAAATTCTAATTTTTTATGACATTGGTGAAAATTTCCCTAATGATGCAGCCAAAGTGGTAACATGACACGAGCAGAAGAACTGGTTAGGGAAATGGAAGAAAACGGAATTGACGCACCTATTGATTTATATCATACAATGATGGATGGCTACACAAACATTCGTGATGAGGAAAAATGTTTGATTGTATTTGAAAGGCTGAAGGTAAGCAGCTTTGTTTGGTTGAATTTATCGATCTTGTGCTTGTCCTTCTCTCTCATGATGATGATACAATTTCCCTGCTTATGTGGTGATGATTATTTCTTTTGCATATTTCTCCAGGAATGTGGTTTCATGCCTTCAGTGATAAGTTATGGGTGTCTTATAAACCTGTACACAAAGGTCGATATGTTTTTGTTTTTTTTGTTTTTATGTAATTAAAGATGTCATCTATATTATGCATGGTCTTGTTAAATTCTAATCTGAATTCCCACTTGGATGCTATTTTCAGATCGGGAAGGTTTCCAAAGCTGTAGAAATTAGCACAACAATGGAATCATGTGGCATCAAACATAACCACAAAACTTACTCAATGTTGATTAATGGATTTACACAATTAAATGATTTTGCAAATGCTTTCAGCATTTTCGAGGAAATGCAGAAAGCAGGACTCAAGCCTGACGCTGTCCTCTACAATAATATTATCGAGGCGTTTTGTAAGATGGGCAATGTTGAGCGAGCACGCCATATTGTTGACAAGATGCAGAAAGAGAGACATAGGCCTTCTTCTCGAACATTTAGACCAATAATATCTTGCTATGCTGCAGCTGGAGATATGAAAAAAGCTTTCGAAATTTTTGATTTAATGAGACAAAGTGGCTGCACTCCCACTGTAGAGACCTACAATTCTCTTATTAAGGGCCTTCGCAAGCATCAGGTAGGTTGCATAAATGTTTTAGGGTAAGTTGCTGATAGCATCCCATATATATCTTCGGTAACACTTATCACCTCTGGATTCACATTTTGAGAAGAATAAATTGCAGATTACCCCATCTTCCTTATGAATTGAGGACTAGTAAGTGCTACTGAAGTATATGTTGGAGGTTTAGTGGGGATTATCTGCAAGTTACCCATTTTTTATATTATTATTACTGTGGGTATTAATAATCAGACGTACTGATCTTTTTCTCAGATGGACAAGGCTGTTGAGGTCATTGACAAGATGATTTTAGCTGGCATTGCTCCCAATGAACACACATACACAAACATAATGCAAGGTTATGCTGTTGTTGGTGATACAGGCAAAGCTTTCGAATATTATACTAAAATCAAAGAAGGAGGCTTGAAGCTTGATGTATATACGTATGAAGCATTACTAAAGGCATGCTGCAAGGCTGGTCGGATGCAGATTGCTTTAGCAATGACAAGGGAAATGAACATGCAAAAGATTCCTAGAAATACATTTGTCTATAACATTTTAATTGATGGGTATGTGTTGATCATCATATTATTTTTACTAAATAGATTAGAATGGTTGGTGAAGGTTGCCCATTTGTTGATTCATCATCTATTATATATTTTTTCCATCATATGGCACTATTTCCTGGTGCGAAAGTGACTTGAGGTCTATTTTTTCCTAACCTCTTCGTGCTCTGGTTAGCAAAGAAAAGTGATAATATTATAGTAATTGAGACAAAAGAGATATAGAGATATACCTAAAAGAACATGGTTGGAAGCAATTAGGTATGATATGCTTATAGTTCTTGGAGGAGATGGCCCAGAATGGAACTGAATGGAATAACAGGATTCATATAGCCGACCCAAAAATTTGGAATAAAAACTTTGTCGTTGTTTATTTGTAAAGCTATTCTCTTCCTTTCCCTTCCCTTTTGAATATATCTGGGTGTATGTCATATTTACCTTTTAAAGTCTATGTTGATCAAAATTAACATTATATGCGTTTAATTGCAGTTGGGCTCGGAGAGGAGACATGTGGGAGGCTGCCGATTTAATACAACAAATGAAGCAAGATGGAGTTCTTCCCGACATCCATACATACACTTCGTTCATAAATGCGTGCTGTCGAGCTGGGGATATGCTGGTAATTTAACATATTAATGCAAAAAGCTTTATTAATTTTGGTTTGTGAAATGTGTCTATGGAGTTCCTGTTCTGCAGGAAGAAGCTTATGGTTTCATATGAGAACATAAAAAATTATTCTGTAAAATTCCAAGTGAAGTTAGGTTAATTATCTTGAGCATGATCACATCACTATACAATGTAGAGACGCCATAAAGAAAGCTGTATTCACTTGTTACATCTACTCAGTGATGTCTGAAATGTTATTGATTACAAACTGAATCTGAAACCTGCATATCTAAAAACATACATTTCCCCGCTTAAAAGTAACTCTTTGATATTTCAGGAAGAAATGTCTCATCATCTGCGAAGATCTTAATCTGCGATCTTTTCTTGGTGTGCATCACTACTCCACTCCAATAATTTGTTTCCCATATGTTATCCGGATATTTCTGTTGTGACCCATACACGACACGTGCTCATGCCTGCACCGACAGTTCATTGACACTAATTGAAACATATGCATACTTTTATTCAGACATGCACTTAATTATATGATATATGTTTAAATTACAAACAATTTTTATATACTTCTTGAATGTATATGCTACAATTCACATCCATTTGTTGAGTGAGACATGGGTTGGGTTCGTTTCAGCCCATGCCTAGGTCAGAACTATGATCTTAAAGGGTCATTTGGTTATCTAGCTCAACAACATGCAGTTTCCAATTTATAATAAACATAATAATAGAAACATAAAAGACACTCAAAATGTAATGGGAGTTTTAATTCTGATAACATATGAATTAAAAAACAACATTGATCTTATGCTATTAATTTCATATATATATGTATGTATATGTAGTCATGCCCTTGTATCTTGCATTTGTCAAATTTGTCATGTCCCATACCCATTCCACTACCTGTACCTGTTCCCATGCAAATTTGGTTTCCCATATCTTATTGTTGTGAGGTGAGAAACAGTTAAGGGGCTAAATATTATATTTAACGAGATTTTATTAGAATAATTCATATGCAATAGGGTAATCTGTATCAATCATGTTAGTTTGGGAATTTTGAGACTATTCTGTTTATGGTGCAAACTATTCGACTCCTACAAGTTGGTTCTGTAGGGTTTGCATTCTTTATTGCTGTGTTAAAAACTTAAAATTCTTCTTCCACGGTATCTCTATGTAGAGAGCAACAAAGGCGGTTGAAGAAATGGAGGCTGCTGGAGTAAAGCCTAACATTAAAACATATACCACATTAATGAGAGGCTGGGGCCGCACATCACTTCCAGAAAAAGCTTTGAGATGCTTTGAAGAGATGAAATTGGCAGGAGTTGAGCCAGATAAAGCAGCTTATCATTGCTTAATGAACTCTCTTTTATCAAGGGCAACCGTTGGTGGAGACTACATATATTCTGGAATTCTAAGTGTCTGCAAAGAAATGATTGAAAATGAACTGACTTTTGATATGAGAACAGCAGTTCATTGGTCAAAGGATTTAAGGAAAATCGAGAGAAGTGGTGGAGAACTGACAGAAGCACTGCAGAAGACCTTTCCTCCTGATTGGAATTCGCGTGACGTGACTCAAATAGATTGTGATCAAGTCAGCTATAGTGATGATGGTGATGATAGTGATTGGAGTGGTTATAGTGAAGATGAAGAAGATGATATAGAAGAAGAATTTTGATAATCTATGAATCTAACCACTGAAGAAACTGAGATTAAGATGATGGTGGACCCGGTGCTTGCAGCCATTAACCAAGCTGACAGCTCAAGCCAATGTAAGATGATGCTCTTTTTCATTCTTTATATTTAAGATGATGCTCAAAATGCACGACATCCAATTAGTTGTTTGTTTATTATTTTTTTCAAAGTGATATTATCAAATGACTGTTTAATCCATATAGAACTTACACGGACTATTTCAGTGACAACAAACAAGGTTTTATTCTTGTTTTATTCCCTTCTATGACAAGTGCCGTGACCATATATGTACTGTCATCATTGATAGGTTGGTATATAGTTGGAATGAATTGCATTTAGCTGCAAATACTATAGCTATTGCCATCATACTTTTCATAAAAAAAGTATTTTATTTGTAGGAGTGCAAAATAATTCATATTAGTTCTGTCAAATGCATTCATTTAGACACAATATTTGTTTATGCCATGCTCTTTTATATAAAACCAGACAGGATAAAACTTCTTCAACTGCAATATCCACGAAGTTGAGTATGTGCGTTGCAAATTCTGCCCAAAAACATATCACTTTGCAACTCAAGAGGAACAAACCATAAATTTTTATTTTTGCTCATCTGTTGGTTTGAGGGTCAAGAATTGATTTTGTGCAGTCAGATGCCACATTCAAACGACTTGACATCCCTGAGTAAAACTTGCAATCTTGGCATAGGAGTTCTGATACTACGGTATTATTTTATAATTTTTCTAATATTCTGGTGCTTGTCATGTGTGCATGATAAGAAACGTGGGGGAGTGATAGTTAAATTGTCAAGTGAAGAGTTTTTTTTCCTCCCCGAGTTGAGGGCATTTCTGTTGGTTTTCGAGGCGTGAGCATTTTTGCTGATTCTTTTCAAGGGTGAGGGCATTTCCTTTTTCTTCCCAAATAGCAAGGCATTTCTAAAATTCTAAATGAAGCTCATACAAAGCAAAAATGGTTTATTTTAAGTAGTAGTATATATTACATAGCTCAACCCAGTAGAATCAGAAATGGTTTGAGTTAGTTGGAATAATATGAGTTTGTACACTTGCAGGGCACTGCAGTCATGCTTCCACCTCAAAAAGATCAGCAATAGGAATAAGAGATATTCAGGGGTGCTGTATTGTCTCATTTGAATGTTGCCTCTTCTCCTGTAATACTTGCACACTTCCTGTGAGATTTCGCTAGTAAATTTGTTTCTTCATGGTCACTTTTTTGTCAAGGTAGTTGTACATACTACATATATACAACTGAAGACTCTTGGCCAAGGCATCCATTTTATTTATTTATTTATTTATTTATTTTATTTATTTATTTATTTATTTATTTATTTTTTTTGGGGGGGGGGGGGGGAATTGAGGGTGAATTATGCAATATGATCTATGCACTTTGTAACTTTCGAAGCATAAAACATGAGATATTATAAGTTATATCCAAATTTGAAATATTAACATGTACATGACTACTGTTTTTTTTATCTTAAAAATGGTTTATGATGCTTATTTTGGTCAACTGGCTTTTTTTTCCTTTTCAGTTCATGTTCTGTGTTTTATTTGAATCAGAAGTTTTCTTGTTACCCTTTATTTGTTTCAGCTGCTTCTCTCGAGGATCTCGCTTTCCTTTTGGCCTTCTTTATCTCTCCCACAACATTTGAAAAGCTGCTAATTTCTCTCGCATGGGTGTTGTAAAAAAATAATTTTTTGAAAAAAAATTTAAAATTCACTTTTATAATTGTGCTTTATCTCCTGTTGGTTTTTATACTAAAGTGTTATGAAAACTCTTCCCTCATACTTGCTCCCTAAGGTCATACCATGACCAGCTAGTAGGATCCTTTCACCATAGTAATGTACTGGTAAATTTTTCCTTTTAAAACGAATAAAACTTTCGAGTAGAAACTATATTAAAATACTTTATAAGCAAGCGTGATCATCTGATCCACTGAAGAGGTGGATGAGATGAATGTTTTGAGATTACAGTCACTTAGTGGCTCAAAATTCATTGTTTCCATGTTGGATGCTCTGATATGATTCACATTCAACTCTTTAGCTCTAAATACTTTCGGTTTTCTATAAGAGAGGGTTAGGTACCTAGAACTTAAAATTGGAACTGAGATAATCTATGAGATAAATTTTTAAGGTGTTAGTCACATAGAACAATAACTAGAACAAAGTTTTATAGTGTTAGTCAAGTAGAATTCTAACAAAACTAGAATTGGGATAATGGTACAAAATTTTTTCACTTTTTTTAATTTTTCAATACAAAAATGAGAGTTCTAGTCTCTCAAATTTTTCCAAGTTTTAACTTGGAACTAGGTGGTAAAAATCTAGAACTCATATTTATTTTGTTATTTTTTATTTTTTATATTTTTTTTTTCTTTACTTCTTTCCTATTATAGTTATCATCATCATTAGACCATAATTATAATAATAATTATCAAAATCTTATAGTCTAACCAAAAGTTATTTAATAGTAAAGAACATTCTTGTAAGCAATTATCAATCAATAATAGTAAGTTTAAAATACATAAATAGTATTTATATCTTTAAAATGCATAAATATATATTTCATGATTATAAAAAATTATCCCATATTATTTTATCAAAATATCCCGCTTCATAAAATTGTTCCTATTTATCCCACTAAAGTATTCCACTAGCGAAAAAGTATTCTACTTTAGCAATTATCTCATTTTGCATGAAAATATCTCAATTGACTAACACCGCTAAGTTGGGTTCTTAATAGGATTGTTTTGGGGGAGTGCGTAACTATGTATAGCATTGACAATCAAAATGAACAAAGGAACAACATTGTACGCACGAGACAGATTATCTGTACTTGGATACTTATTTAGGGGGCATTAATTGGAGTTTATAATAGGAAGTTGAGGTTGTTAGCTCTACATGCAGGATGCAGTCAGTTCATACTGCACATGGTACAGATTTAGTAAATGGGGCTTTGAACCTCCATCAATTTGCATTGAACCTAGAGATTTTTTATTTTATTTTTATTAATTCATTCAATCTCTTCTCGCTACAGTCCAGAAAGACCAAATTGAGGAGGACTGAATTTGTGTTTAAATGCTTCAGTTCAATTCTCATAAGTAAGGGCCGGTAAGTTATGTGAGGGTATGAGCTGTGACCTTGGTGGGTAGTCAATGACAAAATAAAAATCCTAGCGTCCTTTATGGAAACTAGTTTCAAGCCCGTGCGATGCACAGATTTCTCTAAAATACAAAAATTGATGTAGCAAAATAATACAAAATAAAACGGTAATAATATGTAAGTAGTCAGAAATAATACAACCTAAGCTGCATATATGTTTGACTTAATATTAAACTGTTAAAAAGAATGTAAATATAATTCCCATATTCTCATAACAAAACTGCTTAAAATGCCTAATGTCTTTATGATTAATGTTATAATATTTTGTTGTAGCAAGTAATTAGTATGAAGCATAATTTTTAGTTCCAAACAAAATATTTAAAGCACGTAGAGATACATGTCAATTATATATATTTGAATGAAAATAATAACTATCAATATATTGATAAACCAAATATCCAGCATAACATAATCATATCAAGTATTTAGGTTTATCAACCCAAAACCACCAAAATAATCTGCACTGATTACAAAAGCTTACTAAATATGGGTTCATACAAGAATACTAAATATAAGTTTCATACATCATTAATCAGATAGGTTTTCTTTCAAAAAGTAGCTTCTACTCTCCGTAGAATCTAGTAATTATCTTTTTCAATTTTGATATGTTTTTCCTTTTTATTGCTTGACATTTGCGGAGAGATCAAGTCCACTGAAACAGATTGCTCGACATCAGATTCGAATAAATTTCTCTTGCAAGGTGTAATGTTATCCGAGGAACAAATTTCAACTTCTGTATTGTCACAAGTGACAGATAAAGAGACCTGTGTTTCATAATTATAAAATAATAGTTAGCATGTTAATGAGGTGGTAGGAATAGATTGTTCTACAATTAATGTGAAGAATTAAGAAATCATAAGTAAGGTGAAAAGAAGTAGGCAATACAGAAGATTTTTATGCAAAGTGTCAAAAGTTAATTAGAAGCTTTAATAATTTGATAATGGGTCAATGACAAATAGAATATAAGACACAAATAATGTTAACTAAACTTCAATCTTTTATTTGATGTGAAAACTTCTAAAACTCAAATGGTTAAAAAATCTTGTATTGTTAAAATTCATTCTACTCAAATGTTAGATAAGAATCTAACAATATATAATGCATTCTTTTAAAAAACCTAACATTAAATTCATATTCTACACATTTTGGAAAAATAAAGGCATGTTTATTTTATCTATTTAGTTAGTATACTGATAAGATATAAAGAAAAGTATTTGGAACAGTTATTGTGAAGAATCAAGAGAGGAATAGTAAAACAAAATTCAAAGTGATAACTGTGTAATAAGCAGAAACATCAAAAGTGTATTTGAAAAATAAGTATTGTGAAATATACAACAAAAATTAGGTTTTCGAGAATTTTAACTTGTCCGGATGTCCCCTTAATTATGAAGACAGGTATTGAGGTGTTATTAGTTAATGTATTGAGCTTTGTTATGAACAAAGCTCGTGCACATAACAAAGCTCGTGCACAAAATACTGAGCAAGTTTAAACTGTACCGAGATGAATGCCAAGAACAGGCAAAGGTAAATAGCACAAAGAATTTCATTGACAAATTAAAAAAAGCACAAAGAATTAATTACTCCACTATCACATCATAGTACAAGTTTTCAAAATCAAAATACGCATAAAATTAAATGCCTAATTGTTTGCTTCATGCAACAGGTAACACCTCCTATTAATAAATTGTCGAATGAATGTTTAAACCTCGCTTGAACTTTCACAATTCACGTACCACTGGCTCAACCAAAAACAACAAAAGAGGACCATTATAAGTAATACAATGCAATTTTCATGGGCTTCTTAACTCTCTCCCTTCTTTGTAAAGCACAATATCAGACCTATCATTTTTCTGCTTACACAGACCATCCTTAAATTTACAACTATGTATAACAGAAATATATCTTCATCCACCAAATGTCAAGACCATGAAAGGTTGAAGTTACGTAATTCTTCCTTTCTATAAATTATAGACTGGCTTGCATATAATTTAAATGAGCTAATCAACTCGGTTAATGTTATGAATTATGCTTTAGAAGACATTTTTTTCAAACATGCCTAATTTCTTATCACCAAATTATCACATTTCATTATCCCTAACTGGTGAGATATGGATGATTGCAAACATTGTCAGTTTTAAAATATTCATGATTAGTTTAGTATCTCATAAAAGAGTGTAAAAGGAAAAAAGAACCACGCGTGTGCGGTCCAAATTCAACTTACAGGTGTATGCAGTTTACTGTCTTGGCCCCCCTCTGGAGAGTAACTTCGTAAGTCCTATCACAAAGATCTTGCAGAAATAATTCCAAAGTTTTTGCTGCATGCCAAAAACCAAGAAGAATGTCAGCCATTTAGACTTTAACTTTCTCATAAAACTTACTGCACTCATCAATTTAGATTACATACATTGGAAGTAAATTTCAATCTAAAGCCTCGATGGATATCAACTTCCATCAGCAGCTCATAATTACAATTTATTATCTATACTCGTTGGTACTGAAACGAAAATGCAAACTACCAGGACTAAACCATAGTTATGGTAAGACTTCAAAGTTGGATTTTAAACCTCCTTGCAAGACTATAACAACTGCGGTCCTAAAACATCCACAACTGTCTCCCCTTTTTGCTTTACTTCCTGCTCCAACTTTATAGTAGATAAGATGATTTTAGACGTAACACACACAAATATTCCATTACCATCTTCAACACTTTCTGAGAGTGAAGCCTTTCACTAAAAGTTTGGAATCCTGTTGTCTGATCATTTGATTATATGTGCAAATGTAGATCTACTTATATTACAAATATATAACTTATTTTGCTAGCTCATAAAAAATTCATTCAGCTTTTCATTAATTTTTTGGGTAATTTGTCCCATTTAAAAATTTCTAAAGCTGAATAAGAATAGATGGTTTTGTTGGATTTAATCTAATAAATCTATTTGTGGGCACATATGATTAAACAATGTGTATTGCTATCTTTCAGGATAACCCACTAAAGTGATCAATTAAGTTGGGTTAATTTGGTATTTAAATGATCATGGGGTCATATGTGCAGATACCAGGTTGTAATTGTAATTTATTGAGGGGCTAAATTACAAAAGTACAACATC